ATCACATTACGCTCATCAAAACAGCTTCGTGGTTTCAGCAAACACTTCCAACTTGACTACTGGTTTCATGGGAGTTGGTTGGAGGATTAGGTTTGACCATATAGTGAAGTTTGTAGTGTAGAGATGTGTAGAGTTAGATTCCGAATATTTACAACCGAACCAAAACCAAGGAATCCAAAGCTGAGATGAGCAAGGTGAGATGTCTATATTAAGATCGCAGAGATGCGTTGTGCTGTATGGTTAATACGCAAAATGGAAAACGGTCTCTTCAGCTACCCAGTAGTCAAACGCGTTGGGTGCTTACGTTCTACCCGAAGAGGACCGGGGTTCTATCCCCAGTTCCTTCGATGAATGTGCGATAATGATGAGATCAACTCAGGGCAAGATAGTCTTGCAGAACATTCTATATCATTCCTACTTCAATTGAATCCAACAAATCGCACTCCACCGGGAATCCCAGAAGATTATTGGTATTTCGGCCGTCAAACGTCACCGATTGGATCGGGTCTGTCTAAATCCCGTCTAGTCGGAATGAACTAACTTCTCCGGAAACAAACAAAAGTTCTTTTTGAGTGAGTTACCGAGAGAGGATGAGGTGGGCCGTAAGCAATCGCATTTAATTCGAAGAAATCGGTTTTATTCGAGAGAAACTCGTCCCCAATGGAATTTACTAATTGGGTTATTGAGGGCTTAGACTGACTTCACTCACACAATGAACCATGCTCACATCCACGTCGGGGTATGGTGATCGACTTATCGATCCATCTTGACGGGATTTGCTTCCTTACCCGACCGACAGAGGTCAATCAACTCCGGGTTCGCTCATTCGTATCTATGACGCACTCTCGATCAACGATCACGAACGTTCCCGTGTGGAAAGGCCCACCTCATCCTCTCTCGGTAACTCACTCAAAAAGAACTTTTGTTTGNAACATCACAGTGGCAGTCTCAAGCGAGCGTTGCATCGAAAAAGGCTTGTGGGCAAGGTTTGTCGGAAAGGTTGTTGCTTTTCTAAACATGTAATGTCTTAGGCCGTCCGTATAAGTAGTTCTGTTTTACGCATATTAGTGGAAAATGTGATTCACGTGCAGAGCAAACGAAGCCTGAGCAACTGAAAATCTATACCATTTCAACTTCAAAAAGAATCCGTTGTAACTTCAAGTGAATCCAACGAATCGCNGTGATGTTTTTGACACAAGGATTAAACGGACCTCCTACAGATTTCCAATCAACTGTATGTAACCGGATAATAGAAACCGACCCATTGAAGTAAACCCCATGCATGATTTGCATTAGAAATCGCTCCATGCGCGTGCTTGCTGCACGAAATCAGCGTTCTTTGAAAACTTCTGATCAAAACTTTATAAGCACCAAGAAGGAACGATCGCAATATTGGTGGTATACAAATAAAAGAATGCAGAGAATGATAATGTGAGATCAAAATCAGGAAATCAAGGTGATTCGGTAATACAGCCAATGATATTACTGACACAATTTCTTTGCCGATGAGAAATGTAGACTCGCTCCGTACTTGATGACAATTATTTGCCTTAAAATACTCTATTTAATTATGTGATGCAAGGTATAGGGAACACTGCATTTCATTTAGGCCGATTTATGCAGTGGAACTCGTTCAATACTTTCATTCAATAAAACACTGTATTTAAAATCAAAGGGTATTCTTTCATAGTGTCTAACCTTAATTCAACAAATCGTGTGGGAGTCGAAACAATATCAACTTGCAATGTGGACCGCTTTCATCAACTCTCTCATCGTAACCACAAGGAATTCCATCACATTGAATCTCTTCTCTTTACTCAAAAATAATTTTCCCCAGTGCTCAAACTCCGCAAACACATCTTTCACGACCCATATCCCGTTGATGATTCGCCATCGTATGAGCCAACCACGTTTTGACCAGATGACATTGCACTAATCGTGATGTGCAAACGGTAGCGTTCATGCGGACCACCCCACCGTAAATTATCAGGGATGAATTTTTAAACATATAGGTTCGAAACGAAATATCATCGGATAGTTTCATTGTTAGGTGACTGTCGAGCTCAAGGATGATATTGGTTTATGGGACATGCTTATTAACTATTTATTCCTTGTTCGATTGAAAGTTCCATTTCGGTTTGTTTTATTAGATCCGAGGGATGGGCGTTCGACCTCTCTATCGTGTCCGCAAACAACGACTTAAGCGAATTAAATATCGAGGGGGAATTCTCATCAGCACACAGCCTACGTGCACAAGGACAAATTAAGTCACTGTGAACCCCGTGGCCCTCGACCGACTCTATTTGCCCTGGTTCCGTCACATACCGTCTGGAAACCAAACTTGAAACAGGAAACGTTATCTTATTTTCAATCTCACTTCGTTTTGTGCCTATCGTTATCCTCCAGCTTGTTAAGTATACTTTGATGCATTAACCAGAAAATGAGTGCCATAGGGGAGGAAAGTAGCACACCCGATTCGCATTAAACAACATGAATGTATTTAGTCATAATTGAAAAAAAGCAATTTTGAATAAACAAGATAATCTGTTGAAGAAATGTTTACAATCTATCATTGTGATCCGACAGTTTTCGATCTCAAGCTCAGGAGAGAAAATGAGTTGGGAGAGAAAACGAACTCGTGAGGTGATTCACAGAGCCCTACCTGCTCCTGGTCGGTCAGCGCGCATGGAGAGGCAGGGGCGAGGGAACAAGATGGTAAAAGTGCGCGACTGGTAGGCAAAATGTGAACAACAGTAGCGACGACAAAATGAGTCTTTTAAATGTATTAGATGTTTGTTTTGATTTATACAAGCGAATTTTCGATTCGCTGAGACGGAAAACTCTCAAGGACAGAGAGAGAGAGAGAGAGAGTGAGTGAGAGCGACACAACGAGAGTGCGACAGCAAAAAAGAGAATGATAGTCACAATAAGTGTCATGGAGGAGAACAAAACTAGGCTGTTGTTGTGCTTGTATGTGTGCATGTGTGTTTGATCAGGTGTGAATACTCTTGGTTTTATTAACTCCGCTTTGAATCACAAATCACGGTGAACAGTGACTCATACAGTCCGACTTGGTTTCAAATCGATTATCATTGCCGCCACAGTTGTGATAATAGAAGGTCATGCAGTCGTTACGCTCCCGATCATAGTGGAACATCACGGCAGGATTTTTACGTTCACAAGATCCAGGATCTTTCGGTTGAAAGCATTCGTGAGGAATATTTTTGAAATCGATGTCTGAGATTGGAAGAAAAAAATCACAAAATCAGCATTATGAATATTCGCATGGGACACAAGAAAACGTTGAAAACAGTTCGGGGGTGGTGAGATGAAATAGCCTTTATTTATTCATCTACTACGAGTAGAATCAACTCACGATCAATGCAGAAAGTAGAATTCGATAATGGGATTGAAGGTGTTCATACAGATCGTTGGAACTGTGATAACACTGTTAGTCATAGGAAAACAAAAGATTTCTTTTGGATCTAATGGCTACTGGTCCATCGTCCAAGAACAGTTTAAATATCCAAATACTCTTGCAAATAAAACGTTCCAACTATTATGGTGCAGATCACCAAGCAATGTATCAAACGTCATCAACATGTTCACATTTGGGTTACAAACAAACGGATGTGAAAGGAAACATTGGCTGTTGATTATTTTAGCCATATCTTAACGTGTGCTAAGACTTGGACAAAAATGTTCATGCCTTAAAGAAACAAACGGCGGTTATACTCCGAGCTGTGTGATTCGACCCGCTCTGTGGAAGTAGGAGGATCATGACAGATTGTGTACGGTTGAGCCATACTGCAGTGTGATGTTGTGAGCCGATATTCGGGTCATGCCCAGGATCTTCCGCACAAATACAGTCGTCCCACCACGAGCCCGCAGGTGAGTGTGCGTGTGTGTGTGTATGTATGTGTGTGTGTGTGTGTGTGTGAATGACCGCAACCCTGTTCTATTCGAGTACGCTTACCCCGGCATATATTGACTACGAATGAGTCAGAGTACGAGTTTGTAACACATTGGGATCATTGCGCGCTCGCACACACCCTGCGCACAAATGTACATTCATCGGCCAGGCGAATTGAATCGAATTTGCTCTTCTGTTTGACCGTGGCACGATGTGGCGGAATAGAATACTGGTGACCTCAGTTGCTGGCCCTTATGACTGAAAACACACACTGTTTCGCGTGTGTTCGACTATTGTTTATTCGGGTGCAATTACCTCAGTACTATTGCTTGTGTGTGTGTGACTAGGTGGTGTTGTACCCAGACATGCCCATGTCTGATTTTCGTTGTTTGCTGTTCACAATAATGTTGCTTACGCCACCCAGAGGCTATCACACACCGCACTCACGAAACCATGTATGCGAAACAGTTGTTCACATGCAACCCCTTCCACACACACACACACACAGCAAGGTATGCTCGGACAGCGCAAAGACCGATACGTCCGGGGCCAAGCACAGATAGGACAGGTGTTATTACTGATTAACTATGAGAACCAATTCGGTCGTCCAGGTCGACTAATACACTTCGAGAATCGGTCGCATCGGGTGTGCACGATCGACACAGAAGCGAAAACCAGACCGTGCCGAATGTTTATTTATCTCACCGTGTGAAAACATGACGTGTCCGATAGCTCTCCAAGAAAAAAGAATAACCAACGGAGTTCACAACGATGTTTTATTTAAATCTAGACGAACCGAACTATTTCTTGGCCTCGAGCTAACTGATCGCCATGGTTCTACACATGACCTGATGATCACCATTACTGTCTAGTGTACACCGAATTCTTCTGTGGGTTAGTATCGGCAATCATTGGAGTTGCTATTGTTCGAATTGTCCACCGGCTCACGGCCTACGCGGACTGAAATCGCGCGCGCACAGACGAGAGCACTGTTCAGGGAACGATATGGGCGTCCGGGAATATCGGTTCATGCATCTAATTTCGCATAGTTCTCTGGCTAAAGCTGATATATTACATCTGAACATAAACCATTCCTCATGTTCACACAGACTCCAGCGTTCTCACGTTTTTACACCGGTTGTTGTGAGTCATGTTTCATCACACGAAACATTCGTTTGAACGTTCCGCAAATATTATTACTGAGATGAAAACGTGGTGAGACGGATTCTAGGATTTCTGCCCCCCCCCTGGTGAGGGGGGGGGGATCACGGCTAAGATGAACGTTTTGTAAAGAAAGATCTCAAGTGGTTGCTGGACATTATGAAAGGACAAATCACTATAGTATACATAGGCATGCACGGTTTATCTTCAATTACTAATTTCACATAGTGATAAGATCGAAGCAATTGAAAACCCGGTTGCTGGTGAATTTTCGCATTGCTCTATTGAAAGATCGAAAGAGGTCCTTTATTGTCTGTATCCGGACTGAACTTGAATTTACAGTTTATCGGGTCACCATAATTGAAATAAAGTTAACATTTAATATCAATTTTATTGTATATTGGACACGGATCGGAAATTTATAAGTCTATTCAGATGGCTAGTCTCGAAAACCTTTTAGAGCCAAAACTCACCTGAATGAAACAGGTGTCAAAATGAAACATAGCCCTAGTGTAATTATTCTCATAAACAAATCCGAATTCAAGACTGTAAAATTAACGCCCGCCTCCTATTGTTATAACCAGATCCATCAAACCGCTAAAATGCTTACCCTAATAAACCCCGCTATCTTTGGTGAACAACGCATTAAACATGAACTTACCGGGAGCAATCCGTGTGCCTCTGCGACTCAAACACACCGGTTGATCGGGAGGACAGCGCAGACTCCAGTCACGACCGTACATTTCCTCTGCATGCTTACACGCCTGATCACCGACCAGGGAGCAGTGCGTACCGTGCCACGAGCACTTTACTGTCTGTGGGGGAAAAATATCACATGATAACGTGAATAACTGATATCACAAAAGCACAGATTAAGTTTTGCAAAGTTCTTTTTAAACAACAAAATTTAGTGTAGTTCCATTGAACTTTTGAAATCATAAGGTTGATGGTATAAAATGCGGTCCACTCAAATTTATGGTTGGCTTTGATTCGATGGTTCAAACAGTTATCAAGTAATCTCGGTCCGAAGCTTCTGATATCAGACAATATCATAAGAATGTAAAAGATGTCCTTCTTGGTGCCAACCAAACGAGCGCAAAATAGAACACATCGCTAGTCTCAATAAGTTCTTCTGAAAAGCTGGTTACTCTATCGTATTAGCCCATGGGATCTCACAGACGCTATTCTTTGCCGCATGCACCAGCTTCACTCCTTGGGAGTAGGTTTATTGACCACGATTGAGTTCCATTGATGGTTCAGAATGAACGATACTGTGGTTAACACGAACCATTTATGACTTATCTCGTCCTCATAAGGATTGCATGCCAAGGAGTACCATTTCTGCTCTTAACAAGACTCGCGCTGCAAAGATTCAGGATTACTGTTAAAGCATTTGTGACTTAACTAGACAGTTAAATACAAACAACTTATAAATTTATTTGTCCACTCAATTACCATGGGGTTTTAAAGACCATCGTCTAAACTCAAATAGCTTACTTCACACAGATTCTCCACATCGCGAATGCACAAAGATTCGCATGCTGTGCGACTGTAGAAACGATTTGAGTTTCCACCGTAACCACGGTATCCAAACCAACGACAAACGTTTAACTGCGTATCGAAATACCATGATGATACCTCGTCCGGTCCGACACCACGGTTCAGTGGTTGACTGCACGCCGGGTGCCTCGGTGGCCCAAAACGATACACATCTCGATAGGCCCAAGGTGCTGCCGAATGTTGAACCGGACGCATCGGTTCAAACACCTCTGGTTCCCGAACCGGTCTATAGCCTTCCATTTCAAAATCTGCCAATGGATCTGGGTCAGATTTGGCCGGCAGATAGTTTTGTTTAATGCGGAAATCAGGGGCCGGAGCCTCCGGGTACACAGGGTCTGCAGAAAAGTATTGAGAAAGAAGATAACTTATTGAAAGCAGAAACGTTGACAGATTATTTTATATAAAATGAAAAATATATTTCAGCACCAATCCGGAGCATCGAAGATGTACTTTGCTAATCAAGTTCAACATTCACTTTTGTCGCTTTCTTCGTACGGCGAATATTAAAAACAAATCGCATGAAAAACTCGAGAAGAACACATATACATTTAATATTGTACGACGATCACAATCATTGGATGCATTTTCGACTACGCATTATTACAGGCATTCAGTTCGCAAATTTTTCATGGCTAGCCGAGATCCCAATTGGCGTACCACAAACCCCGTCGATATCACATGGACCAGCTTGTAACATTTGTGTAAATCAATTTTCCAGTTTGATTCACATTTAGGAAACAATCTGAACCATCTCTTATACAAGCCCCGATTTCATCTACTTAATCCGAATATGATGGTGATAATGATTACACCTGCCATACCGGGGTCCGTAGTTCTTTTCCCGGTTAGGTCGGTATTTATGCACAGCGGATGAAGAAGTATCTCGCGTGGGGTAAGTAGACTCTAATACTTCCCGGATGTAGAATTGATTAGACGTGGGGATGAAGTCTGATGAGTGATCAATCACACCAAGTGACAACTATCCCACAGAACGATTCACGAGTACGTATAATTCCAATATATCACTCCATTTCTTCTGTTGAGGAAAGTGTCACTGGTACACGAACGTCACGAGGTTAAAATCTAAGTGTCAGTACTGTCTTGTTTACACGGTTGCTAACAAGTTATTGAGAGAATCAAAAGACGATAGAATATTTCTAGACCTATTAAATCATTTGGGCAGTTTGACTTCTTCATTTCTTAGACCATTATGTTCTGATCATTACGGTGTTTGTATTTGTATTTGTATACAAAGAGACAAGCTATAAATTTGCCCTGAATTTCTGTCACATTGAAACTGTAGAGAGAAGGTGAATCAAAGAAAAACTGTGACGCACAAGAGCATTTCTGTTATCGGACTCTTTATTATGTGAGCAAGAAAACGGTTACCACTTTTAATACACTCAACTACCCCGCGGCTACGTGCTCAAGTGGTCTTATCTTCGTTGACTGCAAGAACCAGCATTATTGAAAGCCACATAGAAACATCAGTTCTGAACGAGTTGGAAGATTGTCTATTCGATGTGCAACAGAGTTGAATGTGAGCAAAAACGAAAGAAGGATGCGTCGAGAACGCTGCAATTCAGTGTTTACGAGAACCGAATTCCTCCGTATCTGATAATTCAGAAAGTAGCTTTTTACTCAACTTGAGCGATTCGGTTAAATTTTCAATGTTGAATGGTAAACCATAGGATAAACGGGAGATAGATAACTCAACTTAGGTTATAAGCTTTCATTTTGCATATGTGTGATTGCGCACAGCTCAAAAGCTAGAAGGATATTTGGAATGAAATGACAAAATGGATGTCATTGGTCTTACACATGGGTTCATCTGTAGTCAACTGGACCATATACGACATTCTGTCCTCTCCAGCTCGAGGCGATCGAACGACAGGCCCCATTGGATTCAAAACGGAAGTATTTCGATCAGTTATGCCGCGATGTTGAAGTCCTACCTTTCGATAGCTACTCGGTACCACTATAGTAGTTGCCGTTTCTGCAACAGATGGTATTGTTGTTGTTGTTGCTGTTGATGTTGGTGTCTCTGAAGTTGTAGTAGTAGTTGTGGACGTTGTGGTGGTGGTAGGAATACTGCTACTGGTCGGATTAGATTTACTCAAGTCCGATTCCATTGGGAAACTATGTGAGAGGGGATTGTACAGAGTTGATATTGCCCAACGCTTCGGTTTGGTCAAAATCCGATCGGTAAACAGAGAATTAAACGCATGCAACCGAGCGCTCCGGACAAATTGTGGCGGAATGGGTTGAGGCGATTTTATCGCTCGATTGCCATGTTGCTTTGACGGTGGGAACACTTGAAATCGCGTGATACTCGGTGGGGGTGGTGCGTTGTTATCGTTTTGGGGTGCACCGAATCCTGCTGTGGCGTACAGAACAGTGGGTTGACGCCTGAAGTGAACTGGCTTTACAATATGTTTGCCTTCATAAACTAAAATCAGAAAAATGATTGATAAACCACGAATAGGATAATTATTTTTCAATGAAATGAAATACACCACTGGTTTTCTAAATTGGTTTATCACGCTGGATGTACGTTTCTAACCACACCACAGAATTATCAAAATAAAACATAGTTGTCATCGTTGGTTGTTGTAGACTTTTTGTCATGGCTATCGTTCGGTTCGGGCAGTGAAATGTAAACAATGTCAGACTCAAACAGCTGGCAGTTTAAAAATTGATTTTCATGGAGGCAGATAAAAAAATCGCTGTTGTTATTCTTAACCACGACGTGCGGTTTTGATGCGGCTTGATTAGGCAATAGAAAACAAAACATGATACGGACATGATAGGTTGTAAACTTTTTCCGGTAATACACCAGATTGCGCCTGGTGTGGAACAGCTGCAAGACAGTGACCACAAAGTACGCGGTAATATGGAGTCAGTGTCCCAAATAAACATTGATAGAGAACAGGAAGAAAGACGATAAGAAATGGATACTAAAATGATTGCTTCAAAGCAAAAATATTTTAAGAAAATATTACTGTATGATCCCTCTATAGGATTTTGATAAGCATCATTTCGAACAAACGATTTCGTATTTAGCCAAGGTTTCCCCTTATAGAAATAAAGTAGGTTGAAAACCAGGAGCGGAATACTGAACAATGAAATAATTTGAGTGAGTAACTCGGGACCCAAAAATTTGAATACAAAAAGTAATTTAACAGGGTTTCCCGGAAGACGAGAGCTTATTTTCAATCACAAAGTGATTTTCATCAATAATATCCACGAACTCCCCGTGATGAATAAATGCCACGTCAAAAATGAACTGGATGTTTCTTACACTCTCTGAAGAACAAAGTATCTTGCTGGTGACACGAAAAACAGTAACTTGTCGCTCAACACCTCCTGGTGATATTCGTGAAAGGATAAGACCGAAAATGCGATTCATATCGTTCGCGTCCAGTTGCATTCCCGCTATGTCATGTTTGACCCAAATGAAGTCCGTCCAGTTTACTCTAATTTAGGGTTTCAGATGTATCATCGACTTCCATCAATCCGATACTTGGTGATTCGCTTTTCTCGTACCGGATACTCTAGGTCGGAGATCAATAAACTGGGACTGATGTTCTACCACAGTCAATTCCTCATTAGTTTCTTCACCGAGACAAATTAAACAACATTTGATAGAATGAGAGGGAAAAAACTCCATTGTTTTAAGTTTAATCCTACCAAGTCGGATAATCCTACTTGAGGACAACCAGCAGCCTTTTCAGCTGGAAGGTGAGTTAAGATCATCATCCCGGAATGAATTCTCATTTGGCTATGGTCGGAACATTTTTGCTTTCAAAACTATCAACCTGTCAAAAGATTTGCTGTGAATGCCGGAACCTACTTTTACATCGCTCTCTGGCAGTTTTGCGTCCATAACAAATAGAAGTACAATGAAACGACCGGTCTCTCCCAAATCTGGGAAAGTTTTTCGAGTAAGATTTAATTATATGTACTAGCATGTGCACTACGAAAGTCAATAACATTGATACAACAGTTGGCTCACTGTGGCAACAGGTTTAGTAGGAAACAGTTAAAATATACAGTGAAAAAAATTGTTTCACAATACAAAAAGCTCTGATTTGCAAGAAATTCTGCAGTTTATTAGAGACAGCACAGTGCATGCAAACTAAAATTTAAAATTGTTTACAAGCATTGAATTTCAAGAATGCTAGATTTTATTTTTTTATAAAAACGTAATTACTTTCCCAAAGATTTACTCTAACAGCGGGAAATACCCATCATGATCAAATAAATTAAATACACACAAGCACCCCGATTTGTTTGATACTTACTGTAATGCGATGAAGCGTAAAAAGCATTCGCGAACAGGACAAGTATGATCTGAAAATAGAAGTTATGTAACGGTCAGTCTCTTTTTTATCTTTTACTCTCTGAACCCTGGGGTTCTTCAGATGAAAAAAGTCTTTATGCCTTGACAGAAAACAAACAAACAAATGAGCAAACAAACAAACAAAGGAACATACAAATGACAAAAGGAATGGATTGAAACTCACGACTGTCGCGTGCATCGTGGATTGCTCAACGCAGCTAGAAGAGAAAAGATTCTGTGATAGGATTTGCACAGGTAAAGACCGATTCTTATCTCGTTTAGAGTAGCGCGATGTAGTGAATGCAAACAGTTTTATCCCAGTTTATTTCGCACTGCCTTTTATCAATTACAACAATAAACGTGGAATGCGGTTATCAGTACTTGGAAGTGCTCCATTACCTCATGCGATTCTACATTTTCGATAATTCAAGAAATATTACGCAGCCGTTATACCGTCAGCAACAGCAAATGATTGTTCGGAAACAAATCCTGTCTTCTATAACGTCAACAAATCAAAATTCTCATACATCACCGCGTTATTCCAATCAATTATATACTCGAATATAGTTTTTTATGCTAAAACCTTAGTCTATAGTCAAATGAAAATTAGGTTTTCCCAGATAGTGTCTTACAATCAACAAGGTAAACAAACAAATGACCAATACAGGTCATCAACACAAACCACTTGAAGAATTTATTTTACTCTATCGGATAAAACATGATAGTATCTCAAAATACCATGTACGAAAATAAGAAAATGTTCCAGAACTTATGAAATGGTCGGTAATAAGGTGATACGACAATGAACACAGACTTACATTGAATGAAAACTAAATCCCGTTTGAGATACTCGAGTTCCAACACGCAGTCAGAGCTTACTGCGTCAGTGAGTTGTACTGTTCCCCCGGGGAACCTTCTATCTGGCTGCTTCAAGACTTCCCCTGTGGAGCGCGGCTATTTGTTTTAGGGATGGTTAGACGGACAGGACAGGGGCAGACAGGTGGAAACAAATAGAGCGAAAATTGCAACGCACGCCTATGGTATGTTAAGCGCCGGTTGTGCACAGCACCCAAACACCCACCCAACCACACGCACGGCCATAGACATATGCACATAACACATACACATACGCACACACACTCATAACACATTGAAGCAGATGCAGGAATTGTGCTTTGGCTGCACAAGTGGAGCGGCGCTTAGTGTTGAAAGAAAAAATATTTAACAACAGAACCCAGTCTGTTTTGGCAAACTGAGTTGAGTATCCGAGGCGTCACAGAAATCTTAATCCCGGTCACATTGATGTTGCATTTGAGCGTGTTTTTAATTCTATTTTTTCGCCATACAGACGTCTGTAGGTCAATGCTTCAGCGTTTTTGCGTGAAGAAACGGCTTCAAAGTGACTGTCATTCAATTTAGTGACAAGAATGTGAAATAGACGGAATTGATTTTATCCCTGGATGCGTTTTTCTGGGAAGCAAGCAACGGGGATATAGTGGTTCAGATGGTTAGAAGATGCAAAAATGCAAAACGGGTGACAATTTTGTCCGAGGAACTTCAGAGAAACTTGCTTAGGAGAAACAACTGAATGCAGCGATGAGTATTTGATAGCAAACGAATTTCCTGTATTTGTGCATGCACCGCACAGAGTGATGCAATCAATGGACTCCGGTTAGGCCTTCGCCTCAAATGTGCATAGTCAGAAGAAAAATTAGTAAAAAGTGAGATCCGAAATCCTATAGCAAGGAGAATACTACAATTCTTTGGGTTATCATTGTACAGAAACCACCAGAAGGAGGGGTGATGGTTATTTATAAATAGGTATTGAATCCGTTTGTTTGAATCCTGCACATGACACCTAGTTTCCTCATTCACAGGCCACAAGTTAGTCTTTGGCTAGTACTGCTCTGTTTCATAGGTAAACAAATTCGAATAAAGCCAATGAAACAAACCAAAGCAAAGTATCATTACTATTGAGTTCATCAATGTTATGTAGCCGTATGTATCCGTTTTGAAACAATATGCTCAATCCAGATAGCATTGTAAACGGAACTGACTTAAAAGTATCATCCAGTGCCAATCTAATATTGACATTTTATCTATCATAACAGATTTATAGAAGAAACAAAAGGTCAAAACCGGCAAACCATTTGTGTGTCTCTGTGATTTGATTTGAGTCCAATCACCTAAAATATGAAACTTTTCAAAACAGCAACATGGTTTGAGATGGCTTCTTGATTTCAGATTTAATGTATTCATGCTGGTCTTGTTCAACCAAAGTGGGTGAACAGTGGACTATATTGGTGAGATTTTCACATTGTAAATAAAACAATTGAATCGATTTTCCTAGATTTGTGTTTTATCTGAACATTAGTAAAATCAACCTTTTGATGAAAACCTGCTTTCTCAGGACCTGAGTTGACTTGATTTGAAAATCGCAGCAATAACCTCTTTCCGTGGTATTTACTCCATGCCATCTTAGTCCTGTGGCAAAGCTGAACAACAGCTTAGCTTTGGCCTCAATTTTAACAGCTTTGGATTCCCCATTAAGTGGCAATGTTTGGCAGTAGAGACAGTTCTAAACACAGTGTAATTGACATCATGCCTGCTTCAAGTCAATCGTATGAAGGAAATTCACTGTATCTTTCCGTTTAATTAATTTAGAGTACAACCAAGTTTTGGTAAGCAAGTGCACAACCATGTCGTCTTCGCAATTCCACATTTTATTGAACTTTTTCACATTGATAGTAGCTTTTACGAATGACGAATGCCAAGTACAACACAATAGAATGGAGGAAAACGTTTTCCGACGAGTCTCATTAAAAATTCTAAGGAGTGGAGCGGAAGTGGGATGCAGGATGAGATGGAATGATAATAAGCAATTGATTTTCTAGTACAATTGGTTACCTCAGTGGCCTTTTATCGGGAACCCTTTTGCGATTCAGCGGAAATCAGTCTGTGATATGGGCCGAGGAATGGTCTGTGTCAGCATTGTGTGTTAGAAAACCAAACAACTGGGGGTCCGTTGGGTTGAAAATGGGACCTAATNAATTTAAAAGTAGAAAAACAAAACTTCAGAGAGAGGTGTTTCAAGGGCGGTCTTTCTGGTTTCTATCGAATTTGATCTCACGAAATTCCAGCGGAATTATATTAAAGGTCCAAGCATGTAGAGGGTGAAGCTAGCTTTACAACATATACTTACATGCCCAGGTATTCCGTTGCATGCTGACAGAATAACCCCGAATGAATTAGCAAATTAGCGTAACTCTATCAGCTTAATCACTGATACCGTGGTAGTTATTTATTTCCGTTACTCAATTGGTTATTATTTGATACTTTATCCACGAAGGGAAGGGGACCAATTTCACTACCATGAAGTGCCAGAAGTTAGAGGCATTTAAAGGGATTCAATCATACGTATTGGCAACATGAGTTATTCCGAGTAGCCTATAATTTTGAGGAAAGATCCGTCACTTAACGGAACAAGAAGTGGTGTTTGGTACAGATAAATTAAGTTATCGGCAATTGCGCATTTGCAATTTTTAATATTTCATCAAATAATAGATTTGAATCATGACACACAAACTAACCTATTTTTTGGTTACCACGAAACGTTATTGTTGTATTCCCGAAATGGCTGAATCATTTTGTAGTGGGAGCACTTCATAACAGTGAACTGGAATTTGAATGTTGAAAGTCACAAGTCATTTTGTCATGTACGTTTTTCTGAGCGGATCGCACATCAGTTCACATCGGTTCAACGGAATCCCGACAAGAAGTTTGTTATCCGAGGACAATTGGTGCGACATTTTGGGAACTAGATAAATGATGACAGAACAATACCTGGGATGTCAGGGCATAAGCTGACAACTGCGAATAAACATTGAACTTTTATTTGGGATCGAATTGTATGAATTAGCTCAGGTGTCGATGTTCCCTGGGAGAGTAGTTAAATCGGTCTTGGCTTTTTATGAACCTCCTGCACATGCGGCATTTAAATTATAGGCAGAAGTCAATTCAGAGCATGGGAGCAGTTTACTTGAAAAAAGGAGTTGAAAAGTTGAACGAATGTCTTTTCTTCCATAATTAAAACTACGCCTGAAGGCAAGTGAAATACGCACTGGCCAAAATACACCTGTATAGATTGTCGCTCTTACAACTTTGAATAACTGTCGGGTGACAAAAGAAATCAATAACATATATTTGAAACGGCTACTTGTCTATATATTCATTGAAATCTTTTTAACTATTTGACTTATTTGAAAACACTACCACTTCTTAAATTACATTGTAAACTTTGGCTATTTAAGAGTTCGGAAACTCAGTCAAGGTGCTGCTTCGCAATCTAACTGATTGTGTTTTATGGTGGACAATTTGTATGGATAATCGCCATGAGAGATTGTTGGCCAACCAGCCAAGTTCAGGCTATCGATTGAGCAGTTGGCAGATAAATGGAACGCGGAAAGGGGTTTCCTTGAGTCTGACACATGAAATGAACCGCCTATGCACATGACATTTAGAATTACATATCGCAGTGGTAGGCAACTGGGTTGCACCTAGGGTTTCAATGGAGCTGAGTAGATTATTACATCGCTGCATCTGATGGCGAACTTGAATAGAGAACAATATGATGTTGCAAGTCAATGAATTACATGGAGCATTATCCACGTGAAACTTCAAACTAACTTGATGATGTTTTAACAATGACTGGTTTTCATATACTCTTTGAACGTTAATCAAAGGTTACCAAAATCCGTTTAAATAAATTTGAAATGCAACTCAGAGAAAGAGAGTTGAACACAAAACACCTGAAGTACTTGGTACTCGCGCTTAACAGAGGCGCAGATATTTTCATGATGCATATAGAAGTCAAGATCAAAATTGGATATACTTGATGAATGTAAGTTTTTGCACATCACCATCTTATTTATCAGGGAGTTTCTGACCGTTTATCCTGGTTTTCAACAGAAATGAAAGGCATACACGAAGTGTACTTGCATGGGCAGTGTTTACATTGAGTAATGTTAGACTTGTTTCGAGGTATTCTCCACACATCATTATGGTCCGAGTCATCCAAAGACGTTTTTTTAGAATGAATCTATTGAGAGATCACGGAAAGATTTATGTTGCTAATTGTGAGCTATGCTTCAAAGAAGAAACATAAAACAGTCAAATAACAAATACTAATGGGCTATAGGATAATCAGGTCCGTGCACTAACTGAATTAAGATTCCGATTGGGTTGATTCAATTATGTTGCAACGTCTGTACTCATTTTCCACCGAGTACCCTTTCCAAGGTCTTCGACTGGATTCTTATTTATTAACGAGAATGAACTGTTTGCACGATGAAGAAACAGCTTTATACAGTTTTCTGTCATTCATTCGAGGAATGAGTCTGTTTAGCCTGTAAAGTATTTTGGACGTTTCGCTAGAATCAAATAAATAAACGCACAACATATTTGTGAAGCTTGTAAACTTTTGCCTGTGGGAAACATGGTACGAACTCATTACTAAAATTGAATGTGCAGAAAGTTTGCACTCCAGGATCGATTATGGAACCTAGCTGATTAGAGAAACCATGGGAAGCAGTGTAATGCAACTAATCGTGACTAAGCAACTATGGAGAGCAGTGCAGTGTTTCCGGTAGGCGGGGAATTATGGATGAGGAAAGTAAAAGAATAATGGGGAAATCAAAACGATTTGCAAAAATACGAAAGTCTCTCTGCGAGTAGTTTGAAATGGGGTAAGAAAATTTTCTCAATTCCCACTAATTGCTTATACATTGGGATCAACTACTGAGGAGATACTGCCTTATTTGATAAGATATCCTTTATAAAAGAAGGAAAAACCTCAAAGTTTTGAGGGAATAAGATAAAAGTGAGCAAATTGATGTGCACTCAAAACATTCCGATAAAATAACATAAAAGCCGATTGAATAAAAATGTTTTGAGTAGCAATGAGATTATACCATAAAAAAGGGAAATCGAACAAATTTCAAATAAAGTGGCACGGTACAAAGTCATTTTGATATTTAATGCGGCTGGCGAATGACGAAACAAACAAGTTATTATTGTAAGTTGTGAAACATAAGGGTAAAGGATAGCGAATTGTAGTATACCAGACGAGAAAACGTTCTCCCTAACTTGGTACTTATGAATCTTATAGTACAATATGCGCTTAGTATGACAGAATGGGTTATTCGATCAAAGACATCTTTGTGTGTGAGAGATGACCAGGGGACCGAGTCAAAGGCACTAGAGTATTAAGTACCCATAAAGCGAACGAATTTCTTGGGGGTGATCCAGGGCCTCAGAGATGCAGTGAACTAAAGCAGGCCGCTTTATTTGGTATGTCTAATCGTTTTCTAAATTATAGTTGATCAATTTCGATAATCAACTAAAAATGCAACTGGATGTGAATAGCATGCGTTGTAAGTTATAGCTGGGAGAAACCGCTAACGATGGGAAAGTTTGTTGAATTGAAAATCCCTTGATAGGTTTTGAACAAAACAGCAAAATGAAACCTACATAAACAGGAATATTGAACGAGTGTATATTCTCCTCGGTTAATAGACCCGTACCCTACTTGTGAAGTGAATCAGATCGGTGATCAGAGTGAAATGCAAACCGCGGTTTTGAGATTCAAATGCGCTTGAAATAGTCATCTGTTATAGTGGATTCGATCCTGGGGTAGTTTGCTAGAGAGATTTAAGGTCTACATTACCAGCGTTAAAAGGACTAGCAGTTTTTCGCTGACCGCGACCGAGTCGAATACGTTGGGAAACTAATTTTCAATAGTTCCTTACAGTGATTTTTTGGTATTTGTCATTGTAGTATTTACATTGACAGTTGATTCTGTGGTACAGTTGATGCACTAATGAAGCATTTGTCATTTCAAAGACCCCAGGAGAGGGAAATTATTTGCGGAGAAACAGTCCCTCAGTGGTCGGAAATGGCATTTACTGTCAGTGAAAATGTCAAAAGATGATGAAACATAGGCATGTAAAAACGAGACGGTTATATTCAAAGACCGTTTGAGCACACGAGAGATTGCAGTCATGTTCGATTCGACTGAGCAAATGAGGAAGTTGTTGGAGGGGATTTCAGTTTGGTTTGGTTGTGAAAACAATTGATTTCTACTGAATAGCTAAAACTTTAGGCAGACTGGTGATAAGTTCCTTTAAAACAAAATTTGTCCATGTAGAAGAGAGACATCAATTATTTGGATAGGGTGCCATCAAGGGAGAAGCATGATTATACTCGCCAAAAGGGAAAAATAAATATATTCAAGAGTAGTGCCGCAAACGGATTGAGAGAGTACATAAATGAGCTAGTAAAATCCTGTGAAAAGAGGGGAGTCATAAACAAGCTTGCAAAATAGTGAAACGAAAGGATGAGCCCTTAGTGAGCATTCTATAGTAAGCCAAGCAATCATTCTAAAAGGATATACAAAAGCAGTTCAAACTGCACGCTAGCACCACCGCCAATACTACGCCATGAAGTATTCAGGAATGAACTAACACAGGCAACTTTTTCAGGACATTTTTGTCATTCCTAATAAAAATAAACGCAAATAAGTCCTCAATTTCTTTTTTTCAATCTAGATTTGCATGCATGAAACAGTTACAGGGTGAAGGCAGCATTCTGCCTAACTGCACTTTTTATAAAAGACCTCAACTCGTTGGGATCAATGAAGATGGATCATCACTTAAACAATTAAGCGTACAGTGCCATCCTGTTCTTTTGCCTCTTCTATTTATTTTCTGCTGAAAATAGGCTGAAGGTCCGAATTGTGATAATGTATCCACTAGGCGTGGAGTTCTTGTAGGTACTACCGATCGGTGGAGAGTAATCTCACAACAACGATCAGACAAGCATGGTGGTATATCCAAAATAGGGGGGCGCTCGTTCATCTTCTCCTTTTGAATGTTCTCATAGTAAGGAGCTTTAAATACTGTAGTCTGATTTGGAGTATTTTGGCAGCTTCTGGGAGTGATTATTTATTTTATATTGATTACTTAGGTCACAATATCATTTCTGAGTTTATCTGATTTATCTTTATTCGGTTAACATATGCTCTTTGATTAATATGAATTGTAGCTGAGGTACAATCCTCTAAAATATTTTGTCATTCAATCCAGTCTTGTTCATGTTAGTTAATCAGGAGTCCTTCAGTGTATGAGTCACATTTCTTCCACAGTTGATGGTTACATCTTTAAACCAG